AGCTTTCTACAGGAGTTTTAAAGAAAAGGTTTTAAAGACAAATATTATTTCTTAATATTTCTAAAGAAACTAAAAAGGTAGATTTTAATAAGCTTACAAACCAAAAAGTGTTTGTTTTCTAAGAGGGGAGGAAAGGAGAGAGAGAGAAAATAGATTTTTGTTAATTGAAAAAAAAAATTAAAAAAAACAAACCTTTTCTTTGGTGGGATTGGATAGAAGTGTCCTACTGGGAGAAGTGGGCTAGCAGAGACTATACTGGAGTTGAGGAAAAAACTGTATTAAACATAAGAAAGATAAGAATCAAGGATAAAAATTTTTGCTTTCAATAGTAGTAGCAGAAAAGCTCTCAATACAGTTAAAGTTAGCTGTGGGAGAATTCCAGAACATTACGATACAGAAAAAATTGCCTAATATGAACAAAGTTTTCTTTTAAATGGTGCTGGTGGAGGTTTAAGTGAGAGTGGAGAAGGCTGAGGTGATATAAGCTCTGACACTTCAAAAGGAAATGAAACACGTAAGTTGACAATGCAGGAGGGTGAAAGATGAAAAAATGGTAGTCACCATACCCTGCTCCCCAACTCTTCTTACAGTAACTATTTACATTTTTATCATTTTTGCTAACTTGATGGGTTTTCCAAAATTTTATCCAGGCACAAAAGAGACAACAGTTAGTCTGATAAAAACATGGGCCATTTAGTATGCTGCAAGCTCAATATGAGTCAGCCAAGAAAAATGATGCATTTTTAGGATACATCAAGAGACAGTGTCCCTAGGAAAGTGATAGTCCCTCTGTACTCTGCCCTTATTAGACTACTTGGAAGTATTGTGCTCAGTCCTGGGTATAGAATATTAGGAAAGGCATTGATAAGCTTGTGAGTGTCCAGAAGTGGGCATCCAGGATGCTCCACACAATTGAGGATCATTGAAAGCAGCCCCGGTTACTTAGCCTGCAGAAGAAAATACTAAGGGGACATGATGGCTATTTTCAGGACTAACATTTGGAATAGGTATTAGATTTGTTCTTAGCTGCAAAAGGTAGACTTAGGAACAATGGTTGGAAGTGCCAAAGAGGTAAATTTAGGCTTAATGTATGGGAAAATATTCTGAACAAAGTAGAATGAGCTGTCCTAAGAGCTAGTCACTTTCCCCTTCACTGTAGTTTTAAGGAAAGGTTTGGTGATCTGTGGTTGAGTAGACTATAGAGGAGATGTGTTAAAAAAAAGTTTTAATTTTAAATTAAGCTTTATTGCTGACTTTTTTTATATCACACTAATTTCTGGAAATTCCAATCCTCCCTTTTAACAAAGAAAAACGATTAAGCAATATGTCAGTAGACCAGGGGTCAGCAAACTTTTTTTTCTGTAAAGGGTCAGATAACAAATATTCAGGTTTTGTGGTCCAAGAGGCAAAATCAAGGACATTATCTATGTACGTACATAATAAAAGAGAAAACAAATTTCTACAAAATTTTTATTGACAATATTGAAAATATAACAATTGAGCACAATTTTTTTGTGATACAGGACTACTAATGAGAAGAATAGAATTCTTTTTTGCTTAATTGGGCCTTAAAGTTAGTGTTCCCATCCGTCAACATTGATTGCAAATATTCATCTGTTAATGCTGATCAGTAATGTAATTTTATGTATTTCATCTTTGAAAATGTCTTTTCACACAGATTGGTGCTGCCAAATACTTATGATTTTAATTGAACATATTCATCATTTGGAAGGCATTTATAGAATGCTGTTAGATTCTTCTCTTGATATTTGCCTTTTAGCGTGTCATTCCATTACTGGTTAATCACTTCCAATTGAAGGTTAGGTGGGAGCTCCTCCAATGCACAGTTAAATGGATTTTAAAATATGGAAATTTCCTTTGCATTTGCACGAAGGTCAGAAAAACACAGCTGGAACTGTAGAATGAGCTCAGATCTGCTACAAATTTGTGTAGAAATGGAGATCTTGCCTCTTCTTTTAATTTTTGACAACATAAGAAGTGTATAAAGCAGCTGGACATTGCTAGTGATTCAAACATTAACTGTTGAATTGACTTTACAGTACAAATTTTGCATGTGAGTACTGTTTTGTCTTGTAATTTTAGGTTGAATTTATTAAGAAACATTGAATCTGCAGCAAAAACTAATTTCCCAAGCCATTTGGTATTCAATAATTGAGGTTAAAAGTGGTTCTTCTTATTAAAAAAAAATTTCAGTCTTAGCCTTGAATAAAAAAAATGCATAACAAAATGCTATGTAGCTAAATACCAATCTCCATAAATATATAGCTCTCACTTGATCTATATATTTAAATATAAGTCTATATAATATATAGAATGTGCTCTCTATATAATATATATGTGAATTCCTCATATATCTTGGATCTCAGACTTTTATCAGTGATATCTGATGAAAACATTTTTCCCAATTGATGATTTTTCTTCTCAACTACATCCCTTATAGAAATAACTAACTTGATTAGTTTTGTTTATGCAATGGCTTTTAAATTTTATGCAGTTGAAGTAATCTATTTTGTTTTTCATGGTCACCTATGTCCCTGGTTTGGTTAAGAATTCTTCTTCTAGTCATAGCTATTAAAGGTTCCTTCCTTCTATTCTTTTGTATTTTTTTTTAATGATATGATCTTAAGATATTCAGGTCACATGTCAATTTGGAGCTTGTGGCATATGATGTAAGATATTGGTTTGAAACATAATTTCTGATATACTGCTTTCCAGTTTCCTTAGTTCTTGTCAGATAGGGAGGTTTCCCCCCCGGTAATTGATGTTCCTGGTTTTATCCAACAGTAGGTTATAATTTTCTATTCCTCCTAGTTCTTATTTATCTAGTCCATTCCGTTGATCTATTTTTCTTTTTCTTTTTTTTTAAATTAGTACCAAATAGTTTTGATAATTATTTCTTGGTAATATAGTTTGCCATCCAATAATACTGTGTCTCCTCATTTCTTCTTTTTTCATCATTCCCTTTGAGATTCTAAAACTTTTCTTCTTCCAAAAGAATTTTGTTATTTTATCTAGTTCTATAAGATATCCCTTTGGTAACTGTATTACATAATATTAAATTTATAAAGTAAATCAGGACAACTCACTATTTTATTTATTTTTTTGGATAGGTATATATTTATTTATAGGAAGTTTGAAAACTATTCAAGAATTTTATTTTGCTTATTTGGAATAGAGCTAAAAAGAACAGTTTTGTTCTTTTCCCCCTCCAAATTAAAGAAAAGCAGATGGGAGTGATAAAGGTACGCTATATATTTGGCCACTGTCAGTTTTTAGTTTGTGTCTATTGTTTGTCTTTTTTTAATGTCAAATGGAAAAGTTGTCTTATCTCAGACAAAAATGTTCATTTGTGTATCTTTGAACAGATGAGCTTTCCTTATACCAGTTTTTCCTTTCATAAAACTCAAGAGAATAACAAAAGATGTTAAATCACACTTCAGTATGACTCCTTATTTTTATGTTTGTTTTTATTTTTTTTTTGTGTGTGTGTATGACGCAGTTGGGGTTAAGTGACTTGCCCAGGGTCACACAGCTAGTGAGTATCATGTGTCTGAGGCTGGATTTGAACTCAGGTCCTCCTGACTCCAGGGCCAGTACTCTATCCATCGTGCCACCTAGCTGCTCCAAAGCTTACATTTTTTTTTTTGGCAAGGCAATTGGGCTTAAGTGACTTGCCCAGAGTCACACAGCTAGTAAGTATTATGTGTCTGAGGCTGGATTTGAACTCAGGTCCTTCTGACTCTAGGACGGGTGCTCAATCCACCACACCACCTACCTGCCCCGAATCCTCATTTTTAAAACAAACATTTTGTTGCAAAAAATTATATACGGTGAAATACTGAAACAAACAAGCAAAAAAACACCAGTAACTGGGGAGGAGTGGGGGATGGGGCCACAAGGTGGAGGAGAATGAAATCTAAGGAACATATTCCAAGATAAAGGAAATGTTATTAATAGTTATGAATCATTTTGTTAAATTAACACATCCTATATGAAAATTAACACAATGTTTCTTTTATTAAGCCTGGCAGTTTCACAGTATTTCTCAATGTTTTCAATATGTAAAAAAGTCAAATGCTAAGTAGTGGTGGATTATTGTTATTTTGTATAATTAGAAATGGCAAGTTCACATTTAAGATTCCACCAAGCTAGCAAAAAAATAAAGATGTCTGGCTCTTGAACATACTATATCATGAAAACTAAACAAAAAAATCAATATATTCATTTTTTTTTATAAAATTATAGCCAAGCAGTATAAAAGAAGGATATTAATAATGAAGATACCACATATATTACTGACATATAGATTTTATACACTGAAATGTTACATCTTGTACCCTGAAACACCATATGTCAAGAGCTAAGACAATTTAATTTAGGCTCATCATTCACACAACTCGCCATTTTAGCATACTAGCATTGCCCAACCACGACAATGAATATTTCTCCAATTATTTAAATCTTCCATATTTCTATAGAGATATTGTGTGGTTGTATATTTAAGGAACTGCTTCTTTTGTATATAAACATTTTATTCATAGAAGGGGGGCAGAAAAAAAGGGTATTTGTATCAGGAAAAAAAAAAGAGGCAGTTCTGAGGACCAGAGACAAAATTGTCCTTCAGATAAAATAAAACATATTTGAAAGCAGCTCAAAACATAAATACTTACTAAAGATGGAAATGGCTGCTAGGCATAGATGCCCATTGGAGTCAAGATGACTGGAATTAAAAGCCAGTCTCAGATATTTACTGGCTGTATTGCCTTGGGCAAGTCACTTAACCGCTGTTTGCCTCAGTTTCCTCAACTGTAAAATGGGGATAATAATAAGCCATCTACCTTCCAGAGTTGTTGTGAGCATCAGACAAGGTATTTGTAAAGTATTTAGCACAGTGTCTGACACATAGTAGGCACCACATAAAAGTTTTTCTCCTTTTTCTTCCCTGTTATACTTAATTGAACTGTGGATATTTTTTTCAGACTGTTAGAGATTTACAAGGAGGTGCTGATTTGAAGTGTTAAGGAAGAAGTTGTAAGGAGATGAGAATATGAGAAAACAGGAGGAAAATTCACAGCAGCTGGAAGTACTCAAGGTTAGTCTGTGATTTCCAACACAATCAATGTCCTTACAACGTTATCCTTCTCTCCTCCTTTCCTGATAAATTCTTCAGGTCCTTAAGGACAGTATACAACTGCTCCATAATGAGCTAACTTAGAGAAGATACAAGTATTTTGAATGCTATACTGGACTAGGACATCTCTATCACGGGAATCTCAGTTGGTCAGAATAAAGGGGAGAAGGATAAGGGGACTATAGCCATAACAATAACTCTTAACATTCCCACAATTTTCAAATCTCATCAGTTATTACATGGAGAATCAGATCACAGATCTAGAGTTGGAAGAGATCTTAGATGCTGTCTAATCCAACCCTTTTGTTTTACAGCTGAGGAAACTGAGGCACAGAGAAGCTAAGTACCTTGTCATATAACTAATATGTCAAGGGAAGAATTTGCACCCAGGTCTTCTGGCCCCAGAGCTAGTGCTCTTTCCATTACACTTTTTATCCTTCTTGCTTTCCCTCTTCTTTGTTTACAAAATGTATTTTCATAACTTTTGGGGACAGGTAGACTTTGCCTCGGACATATCCTACTGAAGTGATAATAGGAGAAATGCAGCCCTAGATAAGTGTCTATTGAGATTTCCTGAAAAACTCAGATTAGTTATGGGGTACTTGGGTAGTCACTGAAACTCTTAACCCTGATCCCTAGCTATCAAGATTTCTGGTTTATTTTTTTCTTCTCTGTGAAGCTAGCCATTGAATAATAGTTACAATCTCCTATAAAATTTTGAAAAAATCTTACCCAAGATTAGAATGCTGATTTGGGGGATACCAGAAGCTCAAGCCACATTGCAGAAAGTAGCCAAGTAGCAGGAGATCAGGCTACCTAACCATTTACTGCCCTCGTGGCTACCTTAGCTTGGTCAAACTGTTGCCAGGCAGTAAACTTAACATTCAAAGGGAGAAGGGACCTTCTTGGATTCTGTAAACAGGGTTGGGAGGCCACTGATATTGGTATGGGTAGGCTTTCCCAACCTGAGTCAATCAGTCAATAAACATTTAATAAATTCCCACCATGTGCCAGGCAGCATGGGGGATACAAAGAAACTCCCTCAAGGAGCTTTACAGTCTGATAGGGGGGATAATATGCAAAAAAAAAAACCCAGCATACAAAAACAAGCTATATACAAGATAAATCAGAAATAATCAACAGAGGTAAGGCACTAGAATTAAGGGGTTAGGAAAAGGCTCCCTGTTGAAGGCAGAATTTGGCTGAGGTTTGAAGGAAGCCAGTGGAGCAAGGCAGGGGAGATGAGGAGGGAGAGCATTCTAGGCATGGGGAACAGTCAATGAAAATGCCCAGAATCAGGAGATGGAGTGTTTTGTTCCAGGAAGAGCAAGGAGGCTAGGGTCACTGGAAGGTTATGTGGAAGGAAGGGGTGGGGGAGATGATCATAAGGTATAAGAAGACTGGAGAGTGTGGCAGGTGAAAGATGAAGTAACTGAGGAAACAAAGGTATAAGCTTCTGAGCACATCGTTTATTAAGCAATGCATGCTAATCACATAACAAATTGGGACTAGGCCTTCCTCAACTTTGGTACTGGACCCAGATGGGGGGGGAGGGAGGAAGGGACAGATTTTTACGCATTAAAAACAGTTAATCAAATAAGACCAATTAATTCAAAGAAAACAACCAGGATACAAAATTAGGTAATCTGATTTCTAATTGGGGCTTTCTGAGTTATGAACAGAAGAGTGAACAGGTACAATTTCCTGAAATAAGAAAGAGGTGTCTAACTCCTCCAAGTGTCTGGATTCAATCAAAGAAACATGGAAACAATAACTGATTGACCAGAACAAGATGAGTTTTCAGTAAGACATATGGATTGCTTGAGATGTATACATGTGAGAAAACTTGCATTAATCTTTGGATCTGACTTGGTTTCTGGTCAGCATGACCTAGGTCCTTAGTTAAGGGTCTCTAAGCAGCAGGTAGAGGTGGTACAGCTTCTTAGCTATGCAAGGCTAAGTTCAAGCAATGAATTCAGGTTTTCTCACAATTCCCATAATTGAATAGAGTTTTCTCACAGCACAGAAATTGAACTAGATCCTTAATTGAATAGAAACCTAGATCCATGAGCTGGATCCAGAATTGAGTCACAAGATAGAGTCAATGTGGTTCACTCAGTTCCCATCTTTCCTTGAAGAGGTGGGGGAGGGGGTCAGGTTATGAGAACTTCAGTGCTAGAGGATTTTATATTTGATCCTGGACAGGAAAGTATGCTACTGGAGTTTATTGAGGAGGGAGGTGGAGATATTACTGTGCTTTAGGAAGATCATTGTGGCAGCTTAGTGCAGGATGTACTGGAGGTCCATGGACTGGCAGGGAGATCAGCAGGGTATTACAATAGTACAGACATAAGGTAATAAGTACCTGAACCAATCAAGTGATCAATAAACATTTATTAAGCACATACTATGTACCAGGCACTGCGCTAAGTGCTGGCAATACAAAAAGAGGCAAAAGACAATTCCTGTCCTCGGGAAGCTTACAATCCAAATGGGAGAGACAACATGCAAACAAACCTATACAAAGCAAGCTATATACAGGATAAATAAGAAATAATTAAAAGAAGGAAAGCACTGGAATAAAGAAAGGTTAAGGAAGGATTCCTGTAGAAGATGAGATTTTAGTTGTAACAAAGAAGTCAGAGACGTCAGTAGCAGAGGAGTAGAAGTCAGAGCAGAGGAGGGAGAACATTCCAATTTAAAAGAAGGAAAACACTGGAATAAAGAGGGTTAGCGAAGGCCTTCTGCAGGAGGTGAGATTTTAGTTGTGACTTAAAGGAAACCAGAAAGGTCGATATTCCAAGCAGAAGAAGGAGAGTATTCCAAGGATGGGGGTCAGAGAAAATGCCTGGAGCTGAGAGATGGAGTGTCTTGTTTGTGGAACAACAAGGAAGGCTGTGGATTGAAGAGTACCTGTCAGGCAGTAAGGTGTAAGAAAATTGGAAAGGTAGAAGGGAACTGGGTTATAAGGGGCTTTGAATGCCAACCAGATCATTTTGTATTTGTTCCTGGGAGCAATAGGAAGCCACTGGAGTTTATTGTGTGAAGAGGTGACATGATTAGACTTGTGTTTTAGGAAAATCACTTTAGCAGCTGAATGGAAAATACGTTGTATCAGAGAGGTGGAAATGTCAGGGAAGATGAGTATGTAAGAGATGTTACGAAGGTAAAATTGACACTTTGGCAACAGATTGGATGTGGAAAGGGGGTGAGAGAAAGTGAGAGGTTAAGGAGACAAGACTACCTTGTGGTTTTTGAATTTGCTTGGTCCATTTTTTTTCACACAATAAATTCTCAAAAATTATGTGCCCTCTCTCCCCCCCCCAACAGAAAAACAAGTTAAGCAAAACTGTCCAAGATAGTGGCAATGGTGGAGTTAATACCCATACAGATGAAATCACAGATCATTAAAGTGATTCTTGCCTCAGCACTTATTAGCTCTGTGACCCTGGGCATTTAATCTCTATTTGCCTCAGGAAACTTCTTAGGACTTAGCTCCCTATAAGTCTGGGAGAGGTTATCTTTGTTGGTGGAATGAGTTCCCATGTCCCAAGTTGCCTGTGTTGACAACATAACAAATCTTTCATGAGAGTTTGAATAAACTAACCATAATTTACTAATACTCACACATGGAAATAAATAGCGTTCCCAAAAGACTCATCTCATCTGTCTGGTGGTAACATCTATCAAATTCCTTAAGAGGCAGATGTGGCTTCACTGGAATGGTATTAACTTTACTCAACATACATTGAACCACAAATTACAGAGTTGGAAGAGAACTTAGTGTTTATCTAACCTAGTTTCCTTGTTTTAAATGGGAGAAAATTGAGGCTCAGAGAGAGCAAATGATTTAGGTAGTACTTGGACCAAAGCTGGTGCTCTCTCCATAATTGTGTCTAAAAGGTCATTCTACCATACCCGACTCATCCTTCTAGCTCTTTCCTACCCTGCTCATTCCATTCTGCCCATAAAACAGCATATTTCTCAGTTGGAACTAGAGAGTAAAGGAAACATTGCAACAATGTTAAATTGGGTAAAATAAATCCATCTCCATATTTTTACATTGTATTTTAAGTGAATATTGCATTGAATTACATTCACCTTTATGGCTCCATCAGATATGATTGTAAGCCTTAAGAATTTCAGTGAGAAAAATTGTAATGTTTGTGTGAAAATTCAAGACTCTTGCACATGATTCCCAGTTCCATTTGAGAGCAAATAGAAAATACCAGTATTTCTCTCAGATGGTCTTTTCATTTAGCAGACAGAAAATCCTAGCAGGACAGTGAAGAACCATCTTTTCTAGAACAAAGACTTGGGCAGAAGTAGTGAGAACTAGAAAGAATTTGAAAGTGATACTGGAGGAAATGGGAGCAAGAAAGATCAGTGGGACTGTGGAAAGGGGCAGATTAGTAAGAATGAATGCTATTAATTTTTATTAATATATTTTATTTTTATAACACCTTAACTTTGGAATATAAACCTCCCCATACTATCTTTCCTCTCCTTGTAACAGAGAATGAAAAAGAGGGGAAAATAGCTGTTTAGCAGAACCAGACTACACATCACCAATGTCTGACTGTATATGCAATAGAAACATGCATTGTGTAAGAGGGGATTGATAGTGCCTTTGAAATATATTAGCAGATAACATATTTTTGTTTGTTTCCTTCATTAATATTTTAATTTGGTATGGATGCCTGTCTCATTTTTGACTTTGAAAGATCAAAAATATCTACCCAATCCATATGTTTGGAACTTTGGAGCAGAATTTACTAACCTAAGAAAGCTCATTTCCTTAAAAAAATGCTAGAAAGTAGCAAGATTTAAAGTAAACCCATAAAAATCATAAGCCTTCCTGCATATTGCAAAAAATAAAAACAAAACCCAACTAAACATAAATCAGAAGGAAGAGATAGAGAAATTCCGCTCAAAATAACTACAGAAAGTATAAAA